TATTGAAATGGCTTGGAAGTTTCCAGCATTCACTTTGTACAAAGGTCCATAAACCTGGTTTTCATATAACTGGAGAGATGAAAACAAGTGGTGAAGAACAAAGAAGATGTGCTAATAAAGAAACATCTGGTTGATTTTGAGATAAATTGCATTGTTTCAGAGCAACATCCGACTGAGATCACAACAAGTATACTGAATTATGTAAAAGTGTTCAATTATACAAGACAGTAGTTTCCTTTCTATTCGATGTCCTTAAAGGTAAAAACAGTGACAGTCTGAGTACATAAAGGGAGGCATAAATCATTTACAGTCACATGATAAACAAACTATAGCTGTGGTATCTCTCTGTACCTGCAGCTCATGCATGCGATTCAGGTACCCTTTAAAGATCAGTGTGTACAGCATCCTAAAGGTTTTGATCTCTGGGAGGTCAGCCACAGTCTTGAGCTTCCTGTGGCTGTCCTGGACAGTGACAGAAGCAGCAGCATTATCCACTGCCCCTCTCCTGATGTCCGTGGCCACTGTCATGTGCCTCAGAAAACCGAATCCGATCCTTCTTTCTGCAGAGCTCACTGCAAAATGAACAGCCATTATGGAAGCGGGGAGAAGAGTGAGGGAAACACACTGATAACATGAGAGGGAGAGGGAGGTGGGGCAAAGCCTCTCTAGTTAACCCTTCACTATCTGCTGTAAAGTAATATTGTGTGTGAATTAATGTTTTTAAAGGTGAAACACCATTATCATGCACATAATGATACGGTAAGAACATTGCCATCAACTAGAAAATGTTCTCCCCTTTAAAAATTCCAAACCTTTGTCTTTCCTCACAAAAAGCTGCTCTTTTTCATACAATGAAAGTGAAGTTGACCACGGCTGACCCTGGTCCCCATACTTTTTTAAATAACAGCAGTGTGAATATTCTGCCATATTTCTCCTTTTGTGTTACACCACAAAATAAGGTCAGGCAGGTTTGGAATTACATTGAGGGTGAGGAAACAATGAAAATGTTCATTTTGGGTGAACTATCCCTTTAACATTCACCTTTCTTCCAATTCCTACAGGGCATAGTGAACAAACGCAAACAAAAGGTTTTGAATCCAGGTTTTCCTTGAAAGAAAATTGCTGTTAAGTACAATTTTTTTCTTTCAATCACCTAAGAAGGTTAGAACGTATATAATATTGATGTTATGAACAAACAAAAAAAAGTTTCGCTCTAAGCAAATATTATGTCTCACTTACACAATTACTGTAAATGAAACGCATGACTGTAAACAATGGGAAAGACAATTAGTGCATGATAAACAGTGCATCGGTTGTTGCAATAACAATAGAAAAAATTCACAAATTTTTCACAAGTTGGATTTTATTACTTCAGTGTGTAGCAAGCCTTTATCCAGGTGTACATTTCAAAGAATGATTCATTCATTCTGTAAATCACTCGCCTGTTGCTCAGTCTGCATCTTACAAAAGTCTGTAATGCCTGTATAGTCTTCACTCCTTCATCTCTGCAATGTTTTTGATGGAGCCAGCCGGGTCTGTCTTATAGAGCATGAAGTGTCCTTGCACCTGAGCGGCGCTGAGTTCTGGGTGTTCTGCCAGCGCTTGCTCGGCAAACCGCTCAGCCTCAACTACAGACTCCTGAGGGTAAAACCTCCGGAACATCTGAGTCAGCTGCCAGTGAGAGCAGTAGCCCACATACTGCTTCAGATCCACACGGCCAGGTCGGACAAGAGCTGGATCAAGTCTTCAGCACACAGAGGAGAAAAAAAGAGAAAGGGAAGAAAAGAAAACAATACCATGTTATAACACAGGAAAACACAGGCGTTCATGACTATTGGGTACTTCATTCATTATTACTGGATTAAAAAACTGCAAAAAGAGATATTTTAAGATAAACTAGAGCATTATCTATTGATGACTGAATTAGATTTTTTTTAAACATATAAAATAAATTTTACATATTAAACATATTATATTAATTTTATATATTAAATATATTGTGTATATATAAAATTCAATTATCTGCTAAAATCTGCTTATCACTACCTTGAACTGTAAAACAGTTTATTACCACTAATCTTCCTTGTGTTAAAAACAAAAAAGTTATGCACAATGAACAAGTTGCAGTATTGAGCTTTACCTCTCAATGAAATTAGTTGTCATAAACACAATTCGGGCCTCTGAAGATGCCACTCCGTCCAGAGCATTCAGAAGTCCACTGAAAGTGAGCCTTCCCATGCCTTGATAGGCCAGCGGATCTGTGGGAACACATGGCAAGGAAGATTAAATGAAATAAACAAGAGCAGAAATATTCCATGGTGCTGTTAATGCCATGGCTAGAGACCAATCTATTATTAGAATTAATCACACGTGATTGTAGTTACATTATATTACAAACAGACAGTGAGAATTCAGAAGCACAAACAGCCTGTGAGACATACTCTCTGTGGGAAGCAGCTCCCGGCTGACGAAGGCTGCATCCACGTCCTCTAGCAGG